TGGGGGTCAGGCCCGCCGTACGGGTGAGGGGCTGGGGCTGTCTTGGGCCCCGGCCTTTCCCATCCTTTCACGTCTCTCCCATTTCTTGTTTCCCCTCAGCAGCGACAGGACAAGGCCGCGCTGATAAGCGAGACTAGGCGGCGTTTCGAGGCAGAGTACCTGCCAGGTGAGCGCCTCGGTGGTGGAGCTGGGGGTGGGCTGGGAGCGGTGGGCCTAGCTCCGTGGATGTGGTCTCTGGGGCTTGCCTGGTGTCGCTTTTCCCCTGTGGGTTTCCTGTATCCCCGCTTTCCCGGGTGAGAGGGTGTTTCTGCCTTTTCTTCAGGTGGCCGAAGCTACCGGCTGGGGGTGATGCACAAAGCAGGTTTGCTGTATTGGCTGTTGGTGCTTCTTTCTAGGTTGCTGCCTTGGGCAACGAGACGTGTCGGGGCAAAGGTCTGGGTCCTTTTGACTCCCAGTTACGTTTTATTGCCTGTAGTGTGGGGATCTGGAACGCTGCTGTCACTGCTGTGCTTGGTGCTTTTCGCACATAAAACATGGGAGGAAAGAAAACCATGACCTCGACCAGTTTGTCAAGGAAAGAGTTGTTTTTCTAGACTAACTTGCTTTTCAAATTCATGCTGGCCTTAATTAAAGTCATGCTGTGTGTCCAACTCGATTCATGGGTGCAGATGCATTTAAACTTGTAAATGAAGGCCAGGAGGTGCTGGGGATGCCTAGGGAAAAGGGAATACCAGAGTAAGCTTAGAGGGGTTTCCTTTCATTTCAGATGATTTACATTGCTTATGCTAGAAGAATGTATAGTAGTAGAGTATGCTAACTGCAGTAAGCAGTACTTTCTGTTCTGACTGTCTGAAGACTCAACATTAAAAACATGCTTCTATCCAGTTTTTAATGCAAATACAGTAGGAGCACAGTAGTTTAGGAGTTGCATGCATCCCCTTTAATATGCCTTAATCCTGTGAACACATGCCTTGCTTTGGTGTTCCTGATCAGAATTATTGAGGTTACCTAGTTATTACCAGTTTTACATAAGGTTTGCACACTTCTGTAACTTCTTTGTGATTGGCTATAGCAGTTTTCTTGCAAACTTTGGGGCTTGAGGGTGGTACAGCTTTGTTTCATGTGGTTGCTGTGTTAACTTTCATGAAGGAAATGACTTTGGCCTTGGTTAGAGATGACCTGTATTTCTACAAGATGACAAAAATATTAGTAGTGTCTTGAAGAACAGAGCTTATATCACCATTTGATATTGCGATGTGAATAAAGATGTCTTTGGCCTTTTTAAGGCTCGGGCTCAGAAGAGTGGAGGGTCATCTTAAATTCTAAATTATTTTGGCTGTTAGTGTCTGAGAAGTGATTCGTATTGCTTTGTGTTCTATTATGCCAGAGTCACACTCATAAAAAATTACTATGGAAAGCCTGGAACTGCTTTGGGACAGTTGTTGCTGAAAGGGAGTATTAGCTTTTCAATTGAACTATCCCTTATGATCTTGGAATTCCCCAGGTTTCCCTAATGGTAATGAAGCCTCTGTTGGGCTGGTTGTTACAGCCATTAAAATAATTGAATACTGTTGCAAGATAGGCTGTAATCCTATTTGCAGTATTTTGAACACGTTTTCTCAGTAAGCCCATTTTTGGGTCATGGTTTAGGGCTCTTAGCCCTTTCAAGTAAATAAGATTAGTATTTTTTCAGTTTACATTCTTAAGTTCCTCCCTCAAATTTAGGAATGCCACAAGCAATTTAATGTTGTTGTGCCCACTTCAAGTGTGGAAAAATACAGAGTTTTAGTTTTATTGTGGTCCTTTAGCCTTTACTGTATATGTTCTAAAATGTATTCTTTCATGCTTCCTTTTAATTGAAAAGGAGTGTGGAGGTGCATGTGTGCAGACACCCCTAAATGTGACTTTCTGTGTGGTAAGGGTACAAATGATTGCTTCACATCCTGCAATTTTATTCTGCTTTCGGATCCAAGGCCCTGTCAAGGCATACTGAGAAACTGATATTTTCTGTGAAAGTTTAGTGAGGTCATAGAACTGTGGGCTGCTACAGAACAAACCTAATTCTGTTTACAAGTGAGCTGCAAGTGTTAAAATTTGAGTAAAGTTTTCAGGTAGTTTTGTTTCTGGGAGGTGCAGCTACCACTGTTTTATTTTCCCTCTGAGGAAAATGATGCTCCTGATTATTCTTGAAACTTGATGTTTGCATTATGAAGTGGTTCTTCCATATTATGGCACTTATGGTCACTGTGTTCCCCCCATGCAGAAAATTGCTAATGGTCACAAATGCTGTGTCTTGCAGTAATGTTTATTTCTGTTGTGAAATGAAAACTTAAAGGGCCTTTGAAATTCTGATTTTTTGATGGAAATTATTGGCAGAATGCAGTGTTTTAGATTAAAGTAGCATATACAAAAATATGTTTTTATATAGCTGGTTCAGAAAAGTTTAATATTAAACTGCTACATCTAATACATGTTGGAATAATCACATAAAAGTTACAACCAAATAATATACTACGGTCTTGACAATTTTTTGGGGTAGGGTGGGAAAAGTTTTGTTCAGCAATTGAAAGCACCAGAAGTCTGTTTCCTGAATTACACAGCTTCATTTCTGTGACTAAATCGAAGAATTGCTTTAATAGTCAGATACAGTTTGGGAAACAGTGTCAGAGAACCTTACTGGCTCATTTCCACAAAGTTTGCATGAGAACTTTCTTCCTGAAGTTGTTCAGCGAATGTGGCCCTTGAAGGGCTCTAGAAGGAAAGCCTGGCCACTTTGAGATCTTATCTGCAAAGCAGTGTTTAATGTCAACTGAGGTCTTGTGGTGGTGTGTCTCTTTCTCTTCTTCATTTTCTAACTGCATCTGAAAGACAACTTCAGTTCTTGTGAGGAATATATCTCCCTAGTAATGAACCCCCTTACCCCTAAAAGGCATATTTCCAATACTGAAAAGTTCCTGTTGTTCTGATAGACTGGCAAATGCTGTCTGATGTGGTAGGTGGCCAACACTTTATCTTTGCAGTTTTGGGGCCTAATTAGTTTTTTTCTGTTTGGATTCTTTGTGAGAGTTGGTGATGTAAATGATTTGGGTGGTGACAGGAACAACGAAAACAAAAGATTATTTTTCTAGTACTGACTGGTACTAACAATGTTTTCTAGCAAACAGTCTCGTCTTTTTCTTCAGTGCATTTTTCATTCCTTAGAGGATTTCTAAAATTAGCTTTTATTTCTGGGCTGTTACTTCACATTTTAATGTTTGTGGAAATTATTTTTAATCAAATCTTGGTAGGTTTTTTTCCATTCAACAAGTCTTTTTCACACTTCCTTTTGCATATTTGCCATTCTTATTGCCTGTATTCCCTGCCCCTCCCCATTTGCACCCTTTTCCTTTCTTATTTAGGCAAAGCTTAATTTTCAGAAAAAGACTTTGCAATGGAGGTTTCTGACTTTAGACATATGGGTCATCCTCAAAAATATATAGTTATGACTATTGTGGAAAACTCTTAATGTTTTGATTACCTGCTTATGTCTGTTTATGCTCTAAAAAAAAAAAAGTTTTCCCTGATTCTTGGTTTTCAGGCTGAGAAATGCTGGAAGGATAAGATAGGAAACATATGGATAGGATAAAACCAATGCTTTTGTAGAAAGCTATGTGATCTTAATGCTTGAGCTTTCTATTGAAAGTAGTCTTTATTGTCCCAGAGTGTTTAGTTTTGCTAAAAGTTTAAATTTATCACATTTTGTGGAGGCAGATGCTTTGTCTAATGCTGCTTGATTTTGTGGAAACAATTCCTTATTGGGTGGGAGTAGTTTTGTTTTCTTCATCCCTGTCCCTGTATGGCTATTGAGCTTTTTAAATTGTTTTTGGTCTTGCCAGTTTCCTCATCTAACAATTGGAGGCACATGCCTGAATGGTTATAGTACTTAGCTTAACATGCTGGGCATCAGCAGCCAATGAGAATGGGTGTCCTTTTTCTAGCCAAGGTCAGAGGAATAATTGTGACCTTCAGACCTGAGACTTCTTGGCTGAAATAGTTTAAGGCAGTAGTTAAATTGAGAGGGTGTGTGTAATGGAACACTTGACATACTTTGCAAAGTTGATTTTTTCTAGTTTTTTGTACAATGAAGTGGTTGGATTCTTTCTCTGTTCAAAGGTATGTAGTTGCTGTCCCTACATTTCTTTTCTAGGTAAAAGTTCTTCCTGAGGGAAGGAGTCATTCTTACAGATTGTGAATTCTGAATGTCTCTGGGTTAATTTAGTGTGGGACTTAACTGTGCTGCCTGTTTTTCAGTCTTGTAGTCTTCTATATTCTTGCTGAATATCCTCAAATTTCTGTTATTTTTCCTAAAGCATGAATGTCAGAAGAAAACACAGCAGTGCAGCCTTGGTCTCCTGGTAATGTAGATGGCACTGGCAAAAAGTGAAGGGATGTTACAATCAAAGAATTTAATGCATTCTTCCAGTGAAAGTGTTGCAGTGAAATTTGTGTTCATTTAGTTTTCCATGATTCTGGAGTTCTTTTCAGAGCTTGTCTTGTGTTTTCCAGGATCCTTTATGTTGAAAGATACTAAGTCAGAGTGTTTCACCATATGTTTCTCAACTTGAAGACAGCTATTAAAAGGGCAGAGTGTGGTCATAGGAAGAGCAAATCTTCTCACTTAAGCAAGAAAAAAGGAAGGCGAGTAATAGGAAGAAGCTGCTATTAAAATAGAACTTCTTCTGTCTTCTCCCTTGACCCCAGATGTTAAATGAGAAAAAGTAACTTTAAATAGCTATTTTAAAAATAAAGTTAAATAAAATTATAAACTTTGAAACCTTTAAAGTTCTGCCTGAGACCTGGTCAATCTTCTTGCTCACTCAAATTTTCCTGAAGACCTTTTAGCTGAGGGAATGAAGAAAGCTAGTTTTGGCCTCTTCTCCTTGCTGTTGTCACTGTTACTCTCTCATATATAACTTAGCATTTGGTTTTAATTCCCTGGTATTTATCAAACTTGCTAAGCAGATTATGCTGTCTGTCACGTTTTTGGATCTGAGTCTTGCTTAGTTTCTATACAGTTTACCAGTTCAACAGAAAAGTCTTGCGGCATCCCAGTTTTGCCTCTTCCGCTGGCTGTGGAACTATTCTGGGATACAGTAAGATGTGAATATCTTGGACTGAGGGAGGGACCAGATTTCCAAGCTTCTGGACAGTTGTCTTAACTATGAAAAGTTTCACTGAAGTCTGGCACTGCTGTTACATATGTGGCTTTTGCTAGCTCTTTCTGAACAGAAGTAGCTGTGAATGCTGTTCCTTGTCTTACTTTTGGGGCAAGCAGGGTGTGTTCCAAATACCTTATCAAGTTCTGTTTGTTATGGACTTAGAGATATCCAACTCCCTGAATGGAGGGTGACTAAACTTAATGTCTCAGCATCTTTAGTGTCATTTCTGCAGGTGGGAAGTAGCAGACATTTAAGTTTCTAGTGAGAAAAGCATCAGTGTATGTTTACAAGTGTTTTAAGTGGTTAGGTTTGGAGATTGTCTGAGGTAAGATACTTCAGTTTATAGTTTCACCTGAATTTCCATTTGAGTGCCCCTCAACTTCTGTTTCCTTTTTTTAGCCTCTTGATTGTCGTGCAGGATGTGTTTAAATTGTGTTGAGAACCCCAAAGGACTATTTGCTTTCAACTAATTCTATTTTAAATCTGGAAATTTCTAATAATCCAGTCAGTGCAGTCAAGTGTTCCATGAATGATTTAAAATTAGAAACATTCAGGTTATTTCATGGCATAGTTTGAAAACAAGTTTCCAGGTGTCTAGAATTACAAATTTGAAGAGGAGTTCCTCCTCTGAATTGACATATCTTCAGTGACTGGTTTATTGGAAAGGACTCCAGCAATTTCATATCACTCTTCTTTATGTGTTAGAAAACACTTTTATTTTGAGTTCACAATCTCATTCTAAATTTTATGTATTTTGTAGCAAGAACTGGATACACTGGGTAAGGTTAAAACAGTAATCATTACTCCTATGTCTTGTTAAGCTTACCTGATTGAAATACAGGCATCCTGCCAGTGCCTGTGGAGGCAGAGTTTGACTAGCTGTTCCTTGTTTAGTGTGTGTTGTAGTATACGTGTAAATTCAGTTTACATGTGTCATCTTGTTGAGAATTTAGTT